TATATGTATATCATCGTTGTGCAGCTGTTCGATAACGTTAAATAATAATAAAAGACGAACGGCACGATGTCGCGCGGGCAATTCTCTTGCATGATTCATGTAAATTATTATTTCGAAAATGTATAAGTGCAGTATATATTGAAGTAACTGAGCGACCGGTGTTGCGTAGTGCTTAGTGAGTATATTACTCACGGAGAAATGCATAATGATTTCGTGAATAAAAAAATAAAAAATAAAAATATATATATACATTTATATACTCTTTATAAAAATCCACCCGCTTGCGCTATTAAGTAGGGGTGTGACGAGGGATCGCGTTTCTTGTACGGGATGCACACAAAAGTATTGCGGAGGAGACCATTCTACCGACGAACGGGTCAAATCTGATGTATTTCCACTGCTATTGTCGGACGTTACAAATTGATTTCAGGAGTGGTACGGATGTAAAAATTCATTACCGTCGAAAAAAAGCACTGCCATTTCGGACGAACATGCCACATGATATTCCTTATGGATACGAAATTGCATATTTCTACCACCACTATTGACCGCTACGGCGTGGGTATCATGTTATATAATACGCAGTCGTTTTCTATTACCGAAGGAATGAATATTTTTCTTGCACAGAAAGACGTACAAATATAATTCATAGAGACGAGTTTAGACGCACTAAAAATAGTATTATCAATGGGCGTGAATCGTATGCGAATAACTCGATAAACGCGTGACATATTATTTACTATACATTTTTAACGCAACATAATGCCTATGCATTCAATGGTACGCAATCCATCCCGAAACGGGGTTAGTCCAGAAGCTTATAATTTCTTAAATAAATTTTTTTCTTAAGTTTGTGTCGGCTGTTGGGGGTCACAAACCCTCACCCTCCCTCCTCATCCGATCAGTCTGTTTGTGAAACTTGATAAATGATGCCCGGGAGCGAGATCCAGTATAAAATCCCTGACCTTTTTATTCGTTGTGAACAACACCTCCGAGAGGAAAACAGACGAAGGGATGATAGTTCCTATTTGACAAAAAGAATTAGCAACAGCTTTTATTTTACATTCGGTGTGTTTTAACAATCTCGCATACTTCCTCTGGGATTTTGAACTGTACGTTTTTATTTTCGAAAACCAGATGATATACCAAATTAGTTTCTCTTTTAACTGTTATGCGTATACGAGTGTACTTTTTAAAACCAACATCGGCATTTCAGATAAAACTCAATAGGGGAATCCAGTCGTTTCCATAATAAACGAAATATCCACGACTCGCTACTATAGTGCATTGGGCAGTGTAGTAAATCGGACAAAATATAATCGAGAGTATAAACACAGTGTAAAATATAAGTGAATGCATTCGTTCGCAATTAAATAAGATAGTATATACATAAAAACTGATTGTGATTTACATAGTTGAATCCTGTGAACATTTTACAACTAATTTAACATACTTTTATTTCGAATAAATAAAATCTTGCAATTGCATCCTATCTTGTACGTTTTGTAATCTTTGTATAGTGTTCAAAAAATAGCTAAAACAAGACTTGTTACTTGAATACTTAGTATTCTAACTGATTAATTCGAAAAATATTATTTTGTATAAAAAAGTTATCAATTTACTGTAGTCGACCAACATGCAATAAACCGCAAATAATTTAAAAAATTATATACTCTGTCATTTTTAAGTTTATTGAAAACAACAGAACTTTAAATTTATTTTTAAATCATAAAGTACTATTATAAAATTAAACTGAAACTTAATTTAAAGAAATACTTACATTGAATATGGAATTATCACACTTCCAATATTATATATTTAATTAACTATAAAATGTATCATTTCATTATTTTATAAAGAAAATCAAGACAAAGGAAAAAATTCCATTCTTAGTAAAATATTTTTAATTAAATAATAATAAAAGTTTATTAACAAATTTTTTTTCTTAATATTTGAATTTAAGAAAAAAATTATTCTATAAATTATTGTAAATTATTAATAGCTTTAATTTAATGTAAAATGAACTGCTATCTACGGAATGTGAAATATTATAAAAAATGATTCTAATAACATAGTTTAATTTGAAAAAATCAGATTAAGTTTAATTTTTTATTAATTTTCATTTTGCAAACATTAACATAAAAAAATAAAAATTACAATTTTACCTACAACGGAATTCAATATTAATATTTAATATTAATTTATTTAGAGTGTTCTCTCTTTATATGTAATTTAACTATCAACAATTTTAAAACTACATTTTAATTCTATGTTTATTGTCTGACCGATGTAAAATAACATAAACTAATTTTTTCCTAATTTGGAAATAACAAATTTAAAAATTCGGAATTTTTAAATAACTGCTTCTTTCAACAGGTATAAAATGTATTTAAATTATATAAATTTGGATCGATTCCTGCAACTGTAATAAAATTAACTTATAATAAAATATATACAAATAGCATAGATTTGATGACTTCGTGATAAATTATATCACATGAATTCTAAACAAATTTAAATTTTTTCTGTAACAAATATCTAAATTTTATTATTTTTCGATGTTTATTTTAATTTTCATTATATTTATAGTATTTGAAAACTCAAAAATATCAAATGTCGTGAACGCGGTTACCAACACTAGCAATAATGAATCTTGAATTAATAACGAATAGTCTAATAGTTGTTTAGCTCAAATGAAACTTGGTCTAACATTGTTATATGATTCGGACTTAGTTTTTAAATAATAAAATTTTTAATGTTTTGTTACAACAAACAAGTTGCACATTATATTGAGTTTTTTATAACGATACAAATATATATATGTATACTACAATTATATACATGGTGTGATTGTGTGTAAAACAGTCGTAAGTTTATCCGTCAAGCTTAAATAATGGAGTTCTTTCATATAAATATCATAATTAAACATCTACGGGTATAAACACGCAACATTTTCATCGTATAATTCTTATACAGTACAATAATTTAGATGATTTATATCTGAAACGATGAGAGTTGTTTTCATAGACTATCAATTATAACCACAATGAATAATGTTCTTGATTCTTGTAAATGTAAAAACAATAAGAATCGTGAAACGGAACAATTGGTGAAATCGACAATTTTTACATGTTCACATTAACGATGGACAAACGGTTTTTATTGTAATTCGTCAAACACTCATTTGAATCAAACCACTTAAAAAACGCAGACCCGAGACAAGGGAATTTAATGCTTTAATTCATAACGTGGGACCATTAATAATTAAGTTTACTTGACATTTGAGATGAACCAATGAAGTTGAATATTTTTACGCGTCATCATTACGTCATTACGTCCGTCTTCCAATAAAATGCCGTCACCGGCATCAACTACTAACATCACTAAGTTTTCGTGATACTTTAGATATTTAAAACTTTTTCTGAGATTTTTGCGGTTATTTTCAAATAATAAATTTCAGATGAATAAAATTCACAGAAAGGCTCAACAAAATAATATGTACAAATCAACAAACAAAAGCTAAATTAATTCGCTGAAAAGTTAAAATGTGTGTGAACGATAAATAAAAACAAAAAATAAAACTAACATATAAATGAATACATCATTATTTTTAGTTTATATTTGTTCCTTATTAACAACACCCAATTTTACTCATCGGTTGTTTATTAATTTTCCTTCCCATAATTTTTTGTTCGTCTTTCAAATATTATTAGTTGAAACATTGTTACAAAAATCTTAAGTTCTAGGATACAGCCAAAACTTTTGTGACAAATATTTTATTTCAAAAAATGCCAACTATGGGCGTTAAAAAATACTTGAATACATTTAAAATTCAATTTACCTTTAATATATAAAAACATGTTATTTTATGTAATTAAACGAATTAAATTAAATATCCATCGATTATTAACTACTTTAACTATAATTTAAATACAATTTTTATACTTCAGTATTCACTGAATCAAAATATCTACTTCACCGGTCGGCTTTGAAATTTTATTAAAATATTAATTCTAAATTTGATAATTTTATGTTTATATTATTAAGGATAAATGGTATAGACAAAATATATGTTCGACTGTAATAAAAATTATAAATATAATTTAAATATTTTAAATGAACTCATTTATAAAAAAAATAATTTGAAACGAGATTTGTTTGAATTAAATTATTTAATTTAACTAAATCTGAGCCTGATATAGTATCGAATTAGTTTTTAAAAACATAATACATAATAAATTTAATAGCTATTTATTTATAATATTATAATATAAGGTAATAAAATATGATGTTTTTTTTTTTTTTTTGATAAATTCTTAACCAAAATTAATATTTAATTTGTTTGTGAAATATTTAACTTTTTAATAATATAATTTAAGATTACTCTGATCTTATTATAAGTTATGATAAACGTAAATATATTTAACTTCACTTATTAATAATTATTTATAATTATATCGTGCAAAAAAAGTATTATACACCTAATTTATAATGATATGTTGTCAAAAAAAAAAAAAAAAGAAAGAAAGAAAAATAATCAAAAATACAACAAAATAATGAAATTTAATTAATACTACTCTCAAAGTCCGATGTTATATTTTAATGTTGAATTTTTTAATGATACATTTATTTTATTTTTATATGTAAATAACGTAAATGTAATAAATTTTTTTTTATGGCTTATATTCTTCTTTTTATTTTCAATTTAATTATAATTCTTAGTTTTATTTCATACTTTTTAAAAGTATTCAATTTATGTACTCACGATTTAATAAAATTAAACAAATAATATTAACCAAAGTTTTGTTGAAAATTATTATTCATTTCGAGACGATAGAATTAATATATTACGTGTAACAGTTTACAGTAACAGTAACATTATTTAAAAAAAAAATAAATAAATAAATAAATAAAACAAATTTATAAAAGTGAAATCCATGAAACAAATACTAATATAAGAGTGTGTAAAGAAAATTTAAAGCGACTAAAAAATATGTTACCTTGATTACTAGCGTCCAGTAAGGTGTATGTTATCCCGCAAAGAGTTAAATAATTATTAAATCACAAGCAGCCTAAAAGCCGGTACTTTTGTAGTAGCCGTGTAACAGTTACGCGCATCTCCGTCCACGCACCAATCGCGGAGCACGTACAACGCTCCGCTTAAAGCGCCTTCGAACTTTGGTCGTTTTGATAGCATTTTTTTTTTGCGCGTAAAATTAAATAACATTAAAAAAAAAAAAAAATTAAAAAAATATTTTGTAAATCAAAATGAATCGGAAATTAATCTAATAGTTCTCTAAATAAAATTAAATAATGTATCGAATTCACATAATAAAAATCTGCAGTGCGTTTTACGACAAATATAATGTGCATAATATACTATTGTCGAGCATTTGACCAAAATAAAATAATAATTAACTCGACACAGCTAAAAAATTATTATTTTGTACATTTATACTGTAGATTTTGGACGTTAATAACAGATGTATTGACATTATTCAAATAATATTCGTAACTTAAATTTATATTTTTTTTATTGCCGTTTTCTTCATTTTTATATTGATAATCTCTGTAAAATATTATATGAATAAATATTTTGTTGAAATGTATTAATAAAAGTCTTATATTATATTATTTTTACACGAAATGAAATAAATAAATAAATAAAAGCTTAGCCTGGAATATTATTTGTAAAATACGACCGATTTTGAATTAAAAATTTATCATCAGGTATAGTTAATAAAATTGCGACTGAATACAAAAAAATATAATCACACTAAATCTACTAAACACAGTCCACTGTTCTTATAGAACATAACTAATTAAAAATAAAGGCTAAAATATTGTACAGCATACAATAGCGTGAGTTATTTTTCTTTTTAAAGTTTAGTATGAAAAATATAATTTATATTAAAAACAAATGTTCATGACATAGGTACAACAAGTAACAACAATAAGAATATCCGATAAATCAAAATTTATTTCGTTCGACCATATTAGTTCAATATCCTAATTTCAAAATTACAAAATGATAAATACATCACGTACACATGTCCAAATTAAAACCATGATAAGTAATGTAACCTAACCAATATATCGACTTATCGACTGTGGAGTGATTAAGTGGCAATGTTCTAATGTTGTGCAACTTCATTTGATGTTGAAAAATACAAAACTACAAAATGTGTTCGATTATATTGGTCAAGAAAACGACTAAACGTATAATACGTACACTTCACTTCACTTTATAGTGTTTCACGGGTATAATATTGATAAATATTCAAAAATTGTTTGAATAATTCATAATTTAATATTAGCTGTGAATTAAATATGAAAGTCCTAAACTATTTAGTATTGCAATTTTAATGGTTTAGAACTCAAAAAACTAAGAGATTAAGTACGATATGATAGAAAAAAAATTACTGTAGTAATATAACTCATTTTTAAAAAATTTAAAAAAAAAATTATTTACTTTTAAAACAAATGACAAAATGACATATTTATCAGATTTTTTGATTTTTTTTTTTTTTTTTTTAATATTATAGTTTTATCCTATAGCCCTATATTATATTGTATTACTAATATCATATATATCGAACGAAAAAATATTTCCCATGTAAATAATTTAACTTGATACAATTTATATATTATATATTTAGCATTATTAAAACTCTTGACGTTGGGATTATTGTATTAAACATTATATAAAGATTATGCAGCGAGAAATATGCAGTAACAGTTTAAACGCGTAAACACGTTTAAATATAAATATAAGGAAAGAAAATATCTTAATATATTTATATAAATATAGGTAACAATAATAATTGGAGTAAATTAACTTAACCCCGTGGTGTAATTTTGATCTCGAATGGTAATTGAAGGGATGCCGGGCAGGATAGAGATATAGATTGATGTTTAAATTATTAACAGTGCCCATAATTCTGCATAATGATGTGTTTGAAGCATAGTTAGTTCGATGGTCTAAATTTAAAACGTGTTTGTTGACTCACTGTTTGCGATGGCAAGGAACAGATAAAGGCAGACGTGGTGTAATTTTTAGATAGGCAATATTTAAATATTTTTAAAAAAAAAAAAAAAATTTAGTTCTAGTTTTGTATTGTCTATTTTCCACCGATGCAATAAGTAGTTAAGACGATAAAGAAACGCAAAGGAAATGTGGTTTATTCTTTACAGTGACTATTCACTAATTTAAAAAAAAAACAAAACTAATTATTTTGAATACTTTCTACAATGAAATTATATATCGTCCTGGAAGGCGGAGTTAACATTAAAATGTACAGTGTTTGATCTTGGATGATAGTAGATATTATAGTAAGATAATAGTATCGTGAGGCTTTAGAATATATGAACATTTTAATAATTCTGAGTTATAAAATCATTAATTCTAACAAAGGTATGATTAGTATTTATATTTGAATAACAAAGAAAAAATGTAATTAAAATAACCAATAACTCGTATTTTACTAGAAGTATTCAAAAAAACTTATGTATATTTTTGTTTTGTTTTAACTTTTTTTTCCTAGCATTATGTAGGAATGATTAATTTAATTAATTAATGAATATTTAAACATTTTAAGATTAATATATTTAAAAATATTAAATCCATTTTTTGGTAAAATTATCAATTACTATCATTTTATTTTTTTAAAGCATCTATAATATGTCTATCTTGTTGATCTTTTTAAATTAATGAAAAAAAAATTATAAAACATATTATAAGTAAATGATATTTATTAGAACAAGAAAAATAAAAGGAATGAAGTAACAATATTATATACAAAAGTAGTGAAGATATCAAATGAAAAATTTATATTTTATAAATCGAGATCGGCCAGAGAAATAAAAAATTTAATAGAATAATTTAAGATTTCAAACCTACTACAACTGAACCAAGTTTCCAGAAAATATTTTGCAGTTTATTTTACTTAAGGTACTCGTATTTTTGAAAAATTAAGGTCTACTTGCTCAGAAGAAATTGATACTGTAATATATTTAGGAATAATCAATAAGTTGGTTAAAGTGTATTTATTTACTTGAATATAATATAATGTGTGCATTAAATAATATTATGTTTTTTTTAAAACTAAGCGATATGTTTATAGAGTAGTTTTTCAAAGAATTCAAAAATAATACCAATATACCTGAACGAATTTTAAGTCTATGATATTTTATAACAGTATAATAACATAAAAATTAGATTTTTTTTTCATTTTGATAAAATTGACCAATGAACTGCATTCTGCCAATCATCACTCATTAATGATAAAAAAAAATTGAGTTACATATAATACATTTAACAACAAAAAATAACTTAATTTCATATTAAATCTATGAAATATTATTTAAATAATAAAACGGTTTCTATTTAAAGTAATAAAAGTAAACAAAAGAAGTATAATAGTGAGAAGGCTTATTGAAAAAAAGATTAGCCGTTAGGTATAATAATAAGTTCATGAGCAAACAAGAATAAAATAATATCATTATGTTAACGACACAAACATAGTTTTTAATATACACAGATTATAAATTATGGATTTTATTTATTTAGTAAAATAATAACGATCATTTTCACTTTGGATTTGGTGTTCCATGAATGTAATATGAAAATTTTTGTTGGATCAAAAAAATTATAAAACTGAGCTCATACACTAAAATGATTTTAATCATTCAGCACTAACAAAGTTGATCATTGATCAAAATATTTTTACTAATAAATTTACTAATGAAATCTTTATTAAAAAAAAAAAAAATTTAGTAATTTCAATCAGGACGAATAGTTAATGCAAAAGACATAAAATGAAGCTGTAAAATCACTGTTGTTACTATGTGAATATTTCCAACAACTATTCTTTTATCCGAAATCGTGAATTTTCTAATGCTTTCAGTACTGTGAACATATGCACGATACTAGTATAATTACAATAATAATACATAATTACAATATTAACATGAGTACCTTAGTTGGTTTAATAAATAAAATCACAAAATTATAATTTAAATGTTCACTTAATAAGTACGCAGCGATTCGTAAATAAGTAACGAGTTCACTAAATTGTTGAGTCCAATTCGGCCATACGTTTTTATCTGAAATACTATGATAGTATTGTATACGATATAATCACTTATTAACCGAAATTTTTCTTCCGAACGGTCTATTAATATTTCTAAAATGTCAAATATTTTTCATCGAGTTATACCAAATTCAATAATTACTGATGAGTAGGGACCGGATTTATATGCAAATGCATATATGTATTGGAAAAAGCTTTTTAAAATCTGATGAGCATTGTCCTCGATTTAGATCTTTCTTATCAAAATAACACTAATTTTATTTTGCATATCTTGCATATTTCAACGTTTTTACCTACTAAATGCATATTCAATGCATATTTGTAGTTTTATAGTGCATATTATTATTAATAGCACATATATTCGTTTTCGTCGTATTTTCACGATCACAGCTACATAATATCGATAAAATTGCGACCGGTTCTTATTTCCAAAGATAAGATTACATACTCATATTATCCAATGCAATAAGGTAAAATATGAATTCAATTTTTGTTTTCACTTTTTATTAATGTTGGTATTTATACTTTATAGATTGAAGATAAAGAATGTTAAATGGCGATAAAGACGACAAAATATTTTAAAAGCTTTTTTATCCTTTTTTTAATACCGTATTAATTAATAATTATTTTTACATTTATAATACTACATTTATAATATTTGTACATAATTTTAAACAGCATTTTAAATGAATATTTAAGTAGATATTTAAAAATAAATACGTATTTTATAGCATATTACAGTATTTTTAGAAGCATATTTTGAGGATTTTTTGTGCATATAAATCTGGTCCCTACTGATGAGTCATATGATGAATATAACTGCCGGTTAAAAAGTGATGAAAATTGAAATTCTTGAAAAACAAACAACCAATCGTAAAAAGGTAGATTACTGTTTTGTGTTTGCTTTTAAAAAATGCAATACATTTATAACAAAATGTCCAAATGAGCAGTGCAATATAAGAAGATAAAACCAATATGATAAGTATGTGAAACAAGGTTAATATTC